TTGGACACCCAACTTGGCGAATTGGGTTTATAATATATCCTAAAAACGACGCTTATTGTAGTCTTTCTATGTTCATGTAATGACATAAGTAACGTACATGCATTACTTAGATATGTGATATTAAATTATGCATTAGTAAAATTTTTATGAGGTATTTATTTGGACGGCTTCGGTGTTCTTACCATTCTTTGATAGTAAACGTCACTTTACAGTTTGTTTACGGTAGAATTCCCCGAAGGTTTTTTCTGGTAAGACCTCTAAGAAAGTCAAGTTGCCTAAAGTTGACACGAAGAAGAGGAAGAGGGGGAAGGAGAGCCATACAATCTACATCTACAAGGTCCTCCGTCAAGTTCATCACGACACGGGTGTCCCATCGAAGGTAATATTGTTACGACAGAAGACAAGGGCCAGGCAACAGATCGTTTATTGAGAAAATCAAAAGATATTCATAGATTTTTATGTACATTATTGTCAGCGGAGAAGCAAGTCTTCTGATTGGTTGTTTTCTTGTTAAAGGTTATTCTGTACTGCTTGTGACCATTTCTTAGGAAGTTAAGCCATATATCTGCGAATCGTATTTGCACACGTTAAGTCCTCTGTGATTGATTGGTGAGTTCCTTGAGATTAAGCTTTGTTATTGCTTTTCTCATGACCCTGATTCGGGATGTAATACTGGCGTAAATTACTGTCTACAATTTTTGGTTTGCAGCCAGGTCTCTCCACAATATCAGTCATGAACTCATTTGTGAATTATATCTTAGAGCGTATTGCTGCTGAGGCCAGCCGACTTCTAAACTGCAACGGGAGTGTGGTACGCTCTGGTGGTTTAGGAGTTCAGAGCTGCTCACTGACTTCTTATACCAAGATGTCGAAACACTCTGGCTTAGGTGTAGTAGATCATAAATGAAGAGTTATCCAAACCTGAAAAGTTATCAAAACCATCTTTGGATAGTGATGAAGAAGGCTATGGTGATAAGGACTGTTTCTGACTGCATGAAACACACAGAGTTGGTACCTGGTTATATCATGTGTCTTTCGCATTCTAACCATGACCATAGCCACAAGTCTAACCCTAAATGGGAAAAGGTCAGAATGAAAACGAAGGTATAGCCCATGAACAAGAAACATTTTATTTAAAGGGACAGTCTGATTCGTTATTCTTCAAAGTCATTCCGCAGGTCGTCAGTTTTCATCAATGTTAATAACTGTAGTCAAAAACACTGCTGAATTATGTGTTCATGCAACTTTTAAATTCAGCTGTCTCATCATTAAAATGAATATTCTTCGCTTAGTCTTTATTTTTATCTTCTAAATGTCTAAATGGAGAATTTAGCGATATGGAACAATTTAAACAATGCTAATCTTTGCCAGCGGGAATGTATACTCCGTCAAATCCGGATCAATAAACTTTCCCTTTTTTATAAGCGGCATATGATTGGCTACCATTTTCTCTCTTCATTAATGTCCGAAAGAACCAATCAAAGACAAGGTCATTTTGGCCTGTAATCATGCCAACAATAATATGAAATAATAGGCCGATGATAAAGTATATGCTTAAATATACCCAGTTCAAAATTGTGCCACTAGGATATGTATGAGTTAAAACAAAAGATTTTTGATGCACTAGGCCATATATACTAGCTATAAAATCATAAAAAGACAATTTTTAGGCGTTCAACTTTGAGATCGGAGAAGTTAGACTTTGGACACCCAACTTGGCGAATTGGGTTTATAATATATCCTAAAAAAGACGCTTATTTTAGTCCTTCTATGTTCATGTAGTGACAAAAGTAACTTATATAAATTACTTAGATATGTGATATTAAATTATGCATCAGTAAAATTTTTATGAGGTAGTTATTTGGACGGCTTCAATGTTCTTACCGTTCTTTGATAGTAAACGTCACTTTACAGTTTGTTTACGGTAGAATGCCTCCGAAGGTCGTTTCCGGTAAGACCGCTAAGAAAGCCAAGTTGCCTAAAGTTGACACAAAGAAGGGGAAGAAGGGGAAGTAGAACCATACAATCTACATCTACAAGATCCTCCATCAAGTACATCACGACACGGGTATCCCATCGAAGGTAATATTGTAACGACAGAAGACAAGGGCCAGGAAACAGATCGTTTATTGAGAAAATCAACAGATATTTATAGTTTTTTATGTACACTACTGTCAGCGGGGAGGCAATGTCTTCTGATTGGTTGTTTTCTTGCTGATGGTTATTCTGTATTGCTCGTGACCGTTTCTCAGAAAGTTAAGCCATATATCTGCGAATCGTATTTGCACACGTTAAGTCCTCTGTGATTGATTGGTGAGTTCCTTGAGATTAAGCTTTGTTATTGCTTTTCTCATGACCCTGATTCGGGATGTAATACTGGCGTAAATTACTGTCTACAATTTTTGGTTTGCAGCCAGGTCTCTCCACAATATCAGTCATGAACTCATTTGTGAATTATATCTTAGAGCGTATTGCTGCTGAGGCCAGCCGACTTCTAAACTGCAACGGGAGTGTGGTACGCTCTGGTGGTTTAGGAGTCCAGAGCTGCTCACTGACTTCTTATACCAAGATGTCGAAACACTCTGGCTTAGGTGTAGTAGATCATAAATGAAGAGTTATCCAAACCTGAAAAGTTATCAAAACCATCTTTGGATAGTGATGAAGAAGGCTATGGTGATAAGGACTGTTTCTGACTGCATGAAACACACAGAGTTGGTACCTGGTTATTTCATGTGTCATATTTCCCAAGGTCAAGAAGCTTCGACGCCAAAATATTGGAGAATAATCCTCTTTTCCCTACCTCTGGAACGTTCCATGATAGCGCGTGTTTCAACGGAGTTTTGTCGGCTACACAGTAGAACGTGGAGATTGCTTTCTTGATTTCAGACTAGAACCGAATAAATTTGGTCGTTACACCATAATGGATAAGATTTTATTTTGATAAATCATACAGTATTGTACAGTTAAATTAACTGATGACGTTTCCAGCACAAACTATTGCTCATAATCATATCAAGTTTTATACTTATATCAATAATACATTTGGTCGTTACAGTTCTTCAAGCTTCAATGTCCAACATTATAAAATTGCATTTCTATGATTTCATGCTGCTCTATGCGGTTTATTGCATCAGGAATTCTATGCCTTTGCTTTTGTTCAAGTGGCGTTTACTCAAACTTAGGTTTTTTTGAATACGCCATATAATCACCCCAACAGGCATGAACCCACCAATGACTTTGGAATGCCAAGCCACAGCAAGGTAATAAAACCAAGTAAATACCACTATGTTCATGAAAAAAGTGTCGAATGGAATATAACTATATTAAACAGGATACCAGGTTAATTAGAGGTAAGGTTAGGGAAATATTAAGTTTAGGTCTGAGTTAGGCATAAGTTGGGGTTTGGTTAACCTAATTAGGGAGGTATTAGGGTTGACTAGGGATAGATCAGAGTTAGTGTAAAATTAGGGGACCAGATTTACCCATTAGCGTGACTGCTATATCTAGGGTCACTGAGGCATTCACGCCTCTAGAGTGTCTAAAGTTGAACCTTACCTTAAGACCCAACGCCTAGATATCACTATGGAAGCAACGTTTACTGCCACAGATTAGCAAGAACTCTCAAGTAGTCCAAATAAGTGCCTATTTATGATAATGCTTAATAATTCACGAATGCAAACAGTGTATTCCATAGTACTTAACACGAAGAAAACGGATATACCAAGCAAAACAATATAGCTCACCTTTCATTCTTAATACCTGTAAAAATTCGCGTTAGTAAAATCAATATAGTATGAAATAATAAAACAACATTGAGTATTTTTTTCTGTAACAATTTGTCTTAATGTGAAGCATTTTATTTTATAAATATGTGTAATAACAATAATAACAAGTGTCAGTTGTGATCACAATGTGTGTTCAAGTTGTCAATTTTGTGTTTATCTACGTCAACATCAAGGACAACTTGATAAAATCGTTAGACAGGCAGACAGTCGGGCAGACGGATGGATAGACAGATAGACAGGTCAATTGATATACATGTACACATATTAGAAAATAAGATGAAATCAAATCAAAATCAGACGGGGAAAGAAAGTCAGAAAAGAAAAAAAACAAATCAAAAGGGAATTAAATTATCTCTAAGCTTTTTATTTATTTTTTCTCAAATCAAATATGTTTATATATGCAACGTCTGTATTCCAACAAATATCACGGTTAATCTCAGATTACTGTTGTTTTTATGTATGTTGAGGTAGTGATGAAAAAGGTTTTCTTCCCTTTCACAAATAAGGGAAAGAAATAAAATTGAAAAATAAGCAATTGTATTAAATTACTACTTAATTTTATGTAATCACTATAAGGGTTGTCCTCTGATTGTAAAATGTACTAAAATTTGGAAATGTAGCGATAAGGAAGGGTAAAAAATGTCAACAAAAAGAAAAAGAAACTCTGTGCAATAGAAGTTCGAATGATTAACAATGTCTAAATCTCTTTTGATGAATAGTTGAAATGCTCGGAAGCGAAGCAGTGCAGTTGACAATCAACATCGACCAACCGAACAGTGAGAAGAGTAAAATAAGTAGAAACAAAAAATAGAATAAAATACTAGGAAAATGATGAACAAATAACATTTGTTGATTTGGTTTATTTTCATTTCACAGATAGTTAAGATTATTGAAAGACCTGAACACTGTCGATGTGTGTGTGTGTGGCGGGGGGGAGGGGGTGTATTTGTGATTATTTAATAGACTAGATCGTTTTACACTAAATATGATCTCACTACTTATTACCTCTTAGTAAGCGATTGTGCGTCTGTAAAGCAACTGGGTAGTATTTACCCCATGGGCATACATGTGTAGAATCTTGAGTAACTATATGAATACATGCGTGCGTCTGTTCGCTACAATATGGCGCCGATCATAGTTATCTGTTTTTGTAATATACATAGAGTCTATTATTATTATTATTTTTATTATTGACAATCGATGATTACCTCATTGTCATTGTTTATGATTACGATTCACAGTGGGCAATTTCATTGGTACAAAGATACTCTCATAAGAGGTTAATTCTTTAAACATTTGTGTAAATAACATTGGATCAGCGTTAATACGTAGCATATCTGAGGATTTCTCATTTACAACACGTATTACATATTGCCAAAAACGATTACGTACCTCATCGATAACTTTCGATTTTAAACAACTTTCAATATTAGTGCCTGTCGTTGCTCCAGCTCCTGTCCCTGAACCTGATGTTATAGCATGCTCTGTTGTTGTATTCAACAAAGACTTTTTAGTATTGCTATCTGAATGAGATATCAATTGATTTGCCTCAGCAATCAGGAATGGTCTTAGAGGGTAGCTAATCTCATTACCAATATATGAATAGGCTAAATAAAGACAAGCCATAATGATTGTGTGTAATTCCCGTTCAGTATGAATATTGTGATCATTTTCAATGAATGTTTTTAACATCATATATAAAAAGACAATATGTGTAGGATTGATAAAAGCTACTTCAGACCAACCTTGTAATATAAGAGCACGATCAATAGATCGTATCCATGCAACAATAATTGATGGTTGTATATTATGCAGATTTGAATTTGAATTATGCAAACGTTTTGAATTCTCGATTAAATTTAATTGGATACGGGAAACAATAAAAAATGATAAATATTTTAATAATTCACCTGTACTCGCCTTGAATATTGGCTGTCGAAAGAAATTACACATGTTAGGTGTTATCGTGGTCCCTGTTGTTGTTGTTGTCGTTGCTCCTGCTGTTCCTGTAGTAGTAGTAGTAGTAGTAGTCGCTGTAGTACCCGTCCCCGCAATTGTTGCATTCATCATAGAATTATTCAGTTCATAATAGTATCTTTCATTATGACTATAGTTTCTAAAATACATCATATTCGAATTTTTATCAATTTTATGATCAGATTTTAAATTTTCAAATAATCCATAAATTCCGCTTGTTTTACTGATTGCTTTTCGATAATTGAAACATTTAACACGATCAGTTGATTGAGCATCACTGTTTCGATATTGTATAGTTGAATTATTGTGATTATTATTGCTCATACTTGTTTTATTTGTCGATGTCAGTGTGTCCGGCATTAGATTACTTTCATTCATCTGTTGATGATATCCTTTCAATGTTCCAATATCACGTTGTGAAGAGTTCCGTTTCACCCGATCACTTGATTTTCTTTCAGTGCGTTGTTTAAACATTTTCCTGTCATAGGCTATATCATTTGTTCGAAAAGAAGATTTTGTTAAACCTGTCGATTCAACAGAAAGTTTTTTACACTTCTGTTGACATGAATTATTATTATTATTGTTCGTATTAGCAGCAGTATTACTATGATGAGTGAAAAGTTTTAAAGCATAACACGATATTGATTTTGTAATATTTCGATATTTATCAAATCCTGTTATTCCTGTTTTTCGTTGTACATGTATAGGCGATTCAGGACAGATTAAATCCTCACCAAATTCAGTTAAACGTCTACCAAATTTACTTGATAATTGGATATATTTTCCGTGATTGGTGTTCCCGTTCCCCATCCCGTTGTTGTTGTCATTGTTATTGTTATTCGTGTTAGGTATATCCAATATATCAGGTGTTAAACCTTCACTTACACAACCAGTTTGAAGACGATTTGAATTAGTAGTTGTAGTAGCAGTCATTATAGAAGTAGAAGAAGGACATAAAGTAACAGGAAGCGGCACGATATGCTCTTTTTCTACTGACAAGGTAGAATTCCCTTTCATTCTGTGATTGTCATAATTATAATAAACAGGGAATGGTATATCATAGGTGCTACAACTACGTGCTCCTGGGGAGGTATCATTTCGATTCCATGGGGTATATTCTTTTAACTTTTCACTATCATTGCCATTATTATTATTACTGGGATTTTGATAAGGTTGTTGTTCATGGGCATAATGATAAATTGGATAAGGTTGTACATGGTATTGTGTATAATATGGATCCATTGGTGATGATTTATCATGATAGCCTTGATGACTAGGCATTGTTCCAGCCTCGCATACATTGAATGTCGTCGGGGGATATGCATAATTACTATTCTGAAAGTTTTGCCCATCCTTATTATTACTATTATTATTATTATTATCAATAAAAGAATACGGTGAACTATTTACACATAATTGTTCATTCGAATCTTTTCTATGCAAAGATTTAAACTTTGTTGGCCATCTTAAATCAATAAGACTTGGAGTATAAGAGACTGTAGTACTGAAATGACCACCAGTCATATTCATTTTAGTAGTGATGTTGTCATGGCGACGAGGTTGATGATAATATTGTGGATTATGATGTGTAGGACAACACTTGCCATTGATATCTGTTGACAAACAATGTGAATAACGATGTTTCAATCGAGAATTTGGTTCAGATAATTGTCTACGTTGTCCACAATAATCCTCTGGGAGGTGTGTTGAATCTTGTTGTTGAATGAATGAGGTATTGAAGTTAATGAGTGATTTCTGTCCAGAAGAAGATGACGTTTGATATTCACGAGTTATACTATCAGTCATAACATCATTTGAATTAAACCAATAAGGATTTTGTGGCGATATACCGGAAGTTTGTGTATAAGTGATTGGTCTTAAACCAGTAGGCATCGGGATTTTCGTTGAATCATCACCATCCCCATCACTACCAGAGTAGAGGAATTGTTGTGGAGTCTGTTGTTGTTGTTGGTGGTGGTGTTGCCGTTGTTGCTCTTGTTGTTGCTGATAATAATAGATAGGAATTTCAATTGTTGATCGACTTGTTGAATTTCCCAGATATCTTCTAGATTCCATCTGATGCTCCCCTGACTCCATAGGATTACTTCGATCTGAAGCTATAGACAGTCGTTGGAATCGTTCACTTGTCATTTGCATATTCGGTAGGATACCGTTACAACTATCGGCAACTTTTGTTTTACGTGACAAACTTGAAATGATTAATCGTTTCAAACTGAACATGTTATTATTATTCCCTGAATTTATTGATTTATTCGACTCTATGCAGTTATCATTATGACTGTTATTATTATAGTATTATTATTATTATCAGAAATCAATTCATAAGACTTTGGGATCAGTAAAGTTGTTTTAATGGGCTGTTTATTATTATTATTGTTCGCCTGTTTCTGTGTCGATTCACACAGATTATTGTATTGATAACCTGTTGTATTGTGTGCAAGCGAATATTTAAAGTCTTTTCTTCTATGCGAATCATTCAGTGTTGTTCGTCTTGGTATAGCAAAAGAATATTGTACGGATTCATCTGTAGATAGTGCTGAAAGTACAGTTCCCATTATTACTATTATTATTATTATCAATATTGAGTTCTGTGATGTAATATTTTAATTTACGCACAATTATCCTTCAAAACTCCAGTTGTCTTTATCGTTGGCATTGTGTGTGTGTCAAGCTGTAATGACTCAATACAGGTTATTGATCAATTCAATGAAGAAACGTATTCGACTACATTACATACATCACATGGATAAATGTGGATGTCATCTGTTTCTGGAATAATCCAACTTCATACTGCCTTGTTTTGTATATTTTTAAGAAGTTACTATCACCATCTTTCTGCTTTTTAATTTTCCTTTTTACTATCGATCGATCGATATTTCTCATATATATTATCCAGAATTGTAAATAGGGACTAGCAAAATAGGGGAATATTACAATTGCTACTAACCTTTTAGGAGAACTGACTTGAAAACAACAACAGAAAGAAGAAAAAAGAAGAATCTAATAGCGCGCATTGAGTTAAAATTTGCCCACCTCCACATCCTCCTCTCCTGTCTATAACTAACTAACTAACTGGAATATATTCATACTTGTGTGTGTCTGTATTTGTGTGTGTGTTTCTTGAGTAGGTACATTTATCTATATATTATTCTATTACTAACACAACTCACAATTATTGCTGCATACTGTCCTACTCTCTCTCCTATTGCTCTTGTAAAATTTACCTGTAATCAGGGTCTGCCTTCAATAATAATAATAATCAATACGATGTTACAGCTAAAGCCAAAATATACTTGGGGAGAGAGAGAGAGAGAGCAAAAGGGTTACGCCTACACATTGAGTAAAATTGATTGGTAGAATATTTTATTCTTTCTTTTGATTATTATATTTTGGTCACGTGAATTTTAGCCTTTCCCTAATCGCCCTGTAACCGCATATATATATATATATATATATATATATATATATATATATAAAGAATGAAACTGTAGCGTGTCCCAACTTTCCATCTATTATCCTGTCCGTCCATGCTCTTTAGGGTGTGTCTGGGCTCTGGTTTCCTCGTTCGTTGAGTTCACTAAAACCCTGAGATTGACATACTCTATCCAACTGAAGTTCTATTACATAAAAAGAGGGAATATTCATCAAATATGACATGTGAACTTAGTATACCTTAGGCAAAAGCCTTTCTGTGAAGTCGGCTTAATCTGTCTCCCTTTATTTATGTTTCCGTTATAGCATATTGATTATTGATCATGACAGATATTACGGCGTGATTTATGATGACATATATCTGGACTGAAATCATTGATCTTATTTGAGTATATGGTCTCCTTGAACGGATATCTTGATATTTTAACAGGAGTATTAACTTGTAGTTACTTGTCTGTGTGTCGCGGTGGATCAATGATAGTATTATTATTACTGTTCTCTTGGGTTCCTCAGCAGCACATCTTCACAATGTTCCATTCTCTAAGATCCTCTTCAGCTGACCTGACGATTGCCCAGAGTCTCTCATCTCCTCCTCACAAGATCTCTTCCATGTCACGTTCAGATGCTGCACTCGTTGTTTCTCATTAAGGTTCTAATCGAAGGGGTGCCTGATGCGCGATGCCATTAGATGGTCTCCACATTGTGCGTCTGATCCACCTCCATTTTCTTCCGCATATTTATTGGGCTAGCAGTAGGTTCTTAATTGATTCGTTCCCATAGTTTCTTGTTGCCAGTTCTTTCTGGTCATTTGGTCTTAACTTATGAGAAATTCTTCTCGTGAGGCCCCAAGTTTCTGAACCATACAGGGGAAGTGAAGATCAATGATAGAGTGCTTGCCAATCATACACGTAGTCCATGGTTCAGTTGTCGACTGACGCACTCCTAAACCTCGCCTGTCTTAATAGCCGACGAAAAGACCGGAGAAAAAGGAAGGTTGGCATGAGGCTAGCAACCCCCATGGCTTTAAAAATTCAAGGCTTTAGCCATCAAGTTCAATGTTCCACTGGGAAATTAAAGGAATGAAAAAAGAAGTTACTTGTCTGATTATGACCAGTGGATTTATTTGAGACTCGTCAGCTGGATGTACCTCCCCCTCACCAGTTAGTATTGGTTCTCCTACTAAAACTCTAACTCCATGTACCCATCAGTTTAAGTGCCAAAGTGTTTTTCATTAGGACATAAGAGTCGCCTCTGTGTACAACGGGCATAATTTGATTTTTGAGTGGTGACTAGCACAGACTTGATCGGATACAGGTTCGATCACAAGTTCACATCAGTTACAGAGCCACTGAAAACTATATGTCTCTGGACAGCATTGATGAGCCTCACCACCGTCACTTACTGTTGACTTAGCTAAAAAGTACAAAAGAATAGGACTAAACCAACGACCTACATTGTACTCCTAGCTACTATGAAACAAATAATTATGGAGTCATGTGACTGTCCTGTTTTTCCTATGCTGATCAGCAAGCACATGGTTTAAAGTTTTCCCGCCAATTCCTCGTTCACTTGTTTGTGTGTGTGTGTGTATTTGTTCTAAAGCTAAGACTAAGTAACTTTTCGTCACTATTTGGTTTAGAATGACTGGGTAACTGATATTGGTAGGTCTATGATGTCAACTCTCTGGAAGTAAGTATGGTTTTCATCTAGGCACTTTTAAAAAAACCACCGACTCTTTCTCGACAGCTCATTAGAATTCCATTCTACCTTGATAGTGGCGTTTATCGATTTTCTTGGTAATTATCTTGATAACTATGTCATAGACCATGAACAGACTTCAGCTAGAGAATCCTAGAAAACCAAGAAGTAGTGGACGGCTGTTTCATTCTATTTTGGCACTTTTCAGCAGTATGCATTCATTACTCTATCAGCGGTCGAATCCAGGACACTAAAGTTACGAAAGGATCTCGTTGACCATTCACCCACTGGGATAACATCGAGAGGCCGATTTGAAAATTATTCTAGGCGCCAGGATTTCCACTGGGATGTCATAACCAGGGAGTCAACCAAGCTGAGGATAAATATTTACTTATAACACTGGCTGGCAGTTGCTATATTTATACCAAATTTTCAAGAGTTAGAATTCATAAGCCACTGGATTCCATCCCAGGGAGTGAATAGCCACTGAGCTTGACTCGTAACGTGAAAGTTATAAGTGTTTACTGATGAACAGTCACAGACCAAGGTGAAACAGCTGTTCAGTACTCACTGGTGGTTATCAACAGCTCTCTACCTGAAGTCAGTTCTTGATCGAACTTGAAATTGATCAAATCATTGATCTCCTCCATATTTTTTTACATAACTCTTCACGTGACTAATTAACTATCCGCAGCTATGTGTGAATTGCCTTCTCTTTTATTCACTTTAGAATTTTAAAAAAATTCATTTTGGAATTTCCCGTTGATTGATTGAACCGAAGTGCTTGACCTCTGTTGACATTTCGTTTCCTTTTGTGGATGCTTTGACGATGTCTGAGGTTTCAACTTGAAGTAATTTGGTGGATGATGACTTCCAATGGAATCCAGAATGCGCATATCGTCCTATTTGAGACTTCCCGGTGAGAAGGCCCAAACTGGCACCTGTTGCACAAGAGATGGACCTTGTGGCCCAAAACGCCTATTGATTAACGCTTTGCCGTTTGAACCGATGGGTACTGGATTCGAACCTCATTGGGAACAAAATCACCCACTGGAGAACGCAGACATATCCCGATGACGAATCCCAGATTAGGCGAAATGCCTATCCTGGATTCTACTACAAATCACCATCCAGGAAATTACTTCAAATAGAATGTTTCTATTTTGATGATAACTGATTATTGCAATTTCCTGCAGAATTTTTTCATTGTCTTCGTAGTAAGTATGGCTTTCTCCTCTTAATAAATGAACTGACTATTTAGTTAAATTATACCGAAAATTATGCCACACTGATTACACTGATGTATTTCAATAAGCAGGTTATTTGTAGCTGATAAAATCCTTATGAAACAATAAAGTCACTTCATCTTATGATACAAAATCTCTTCTTTTAAAATTTATTCAAAAGTTACATTTTTGATCATAAGTTGACATCAGTTAGAGAACCAATGAAAGGCAGCGGGTACTACAAGACAGCTGTTTCGTCCTAGTTTGGGACTCATCAGTCAAACTTGAAACAAATCAAATCCCTACAAACCAACTCTTGAAAATTAATCCGATGCTCACTAGTAGTTGGCTACAGGACGGAGTGTTCTGGAGTTCTAGTGGAAAGTTGTGACCGGCAGTGGAGTCCATTAGGTTGGAAGTGAGGATAAATGCTCGCCAAAGATCACACTGGTTGGTGCCAGTAGCGGTGAAACCACGAATTGCTAGAAGTTAGAATTCATGGGTTGGCCATTGAGTTGGCTGCCATTGGCTGAATGGTCTACTAGCTTGTCTTGTAACCCGAAGGTCCTGGGTTCGAAAACCAGTTGGTGCGAACTGCTGGTGAGTCTGAAATTAGGACGAAACAGCTGTCAAGTACTTCTAGTGGTTCTTTAACTGATAAAAATCCGTGATTAAACTTGAAACAAATCAAGTCTCTACAGACAAAATCATGAGGAATATTTCTGTGAGAATTGGTCTGCGTAGTTAAACAAAAAAGTGTAAGTCCATAACTTTTACGAAGTCAGTGTGAGCTGAAATTGAGAAATGTATAGTGTAGTTTTTCTTGTGGTAGAAAAATCACTGAATATTTGTCAATGTGAGAGATGAAACATAGAGGGTTAGGGGGTGGGGGATGAAGACGATTGTTTCATTTGCAAACTGACGTAATACAATAAGTGAAAGAATAAAAATGCCTCTGTGAATATATGTAAAATGAAATGTTTTATAGATTATGAAAGGAGGAACAGGAAACAGCAATAGCGACAAAAAGAATGTGCGCTTGTCTATATGCCGTGTCAATGGATATCCACTTCTACTGCTTTCATGTTTCTGTTACCGCCAAAAAAAAGT